CCGCTGGGCGAGGCGTTTATAGTACACAAAACGCCTGTTTTCGCTCGAGATAATCATTATTTAAAGTCAATCCAGGCCGGGGATCGCTGTCTTTTTACTATGTTTGTTTTGTGTTTATGGAACAACCTCCTTTTCGTTTCCATCCGCTACGTCTCCCTTGCCACTTCGTTTTGGGTTTACACACACATTTCTCCCTGCCACCCCTCTTCGTCTTGTGGCTCTCGTTCAATCATTTACAAAACGGGCGATGGCGGGAGGCGGCTGGAAGAAGAGACGGAAAGGATTGGGAAGGAGAAAAGAGCGGCCGGTGGGGGGAGAAGGGAGGGGGAAAAGAGACACCCTGGCCCAGCCTCGACCTTTTGCATCTTTCTCTACAGGTGCTTTAGCAACAGAAGGGCAGACGCCGAGGAATTGGGGCGGGGGGGGGGGGAGGAAGGAGAACCCCATTCTTGGCACATTTTTAAGAGGATTAGTGCAACCTGAATCCGGGGAAGATACAGCCAAGACGCCTTTTCTTGGATAGATGCCCCGGTCAAGTCGAGGATGCCGTCGAAGCTCTTGATACAATAAACGGGAGGATAAAGCTCGCTCCTTCCGGAAGAATGTAACCAAAGGTGCTTTTTCAGGAGGCAACTGGACTTTCTAGTTTTTCTTTGAAGGCGTTTCGCTTCTGATCCAAGGAGCTTCTTCAGCTCTGAGTGGATGGTGGGGAATGGAACGATCCTTCCATTCCCCACCATCCAGTCAGAGCTGAGGAAGCTCTTTGCATCAGAAGTGAAACGCCTTCAAAGAAAAACTAAAAAGTCCAGTTGCCTCCTGAAAAAGCACCTTTGGAACAACCAGGACCTGGATGACTGACAATCTCTACAGACGTTTAGTTATGCACTTGGGAGAATTATGAGTTACAACAAGGAGGTGGTGATGGGGTTTCCTTTGTGCCCAGGATTGGGCACGCCCCGTCCGGCGAAAGCGATGCAAGAAGACAAGGGCAAAAAAAGGCTGGAGGCTGCGGTCTTTTTCCGAAGGAGATGAGCATTGTGACGTCATCGGCTTGTTTGCACTGACGTCAGCGAAGGGCTCCTGGGCGCTCTGAGTCTATGGTTGGTGGAGATACCTGCTCGATCCACAGCGGTCTAGTTCCTTGGAATTTCTCCAAGACCTTCCATACTAGTTACTTGTAGCATCTTGTGAATTTTCCCCTGCCAGTTTTTCTAGGTAATTCTGAATCGGTTCCTTTCAGCCTCCTCCGATCTTAGGCCCTCCAGATGTTTTGACCAACCGTGCCCATGAGTCCCAGACACAGAATTGGAGCCCAACATCTGGAAGGTCTCAGATTGAGGAAAATTGATAAAGGAGGCAAGGAACTTCAGCACCATCAACTTTTTAATTCATCCAACCAACGACCAGAAAGGAAGGTTTGTGTAATCCTTGTCCAGTTTTTCAAAAAACGGGTTTTCACTAGCCCGAGTCTTGCATAGTCGCCTAGGGCAGATTGTAGCAAAAAAAATATATACACGCGTGGTTTATACCGGGAAAACGAACCTTGCCTCCTGTTGACACTGTTAACAGAAAAAGGTATATTAAAAAATCTCAACGCACAAGCCTATCCAGAGGGTCAATTGCACAGTTAACATACCGATCGGAAAATGTTTGTTCCATAAACTAGAAAGATTATATCGAGTAGCTGAGTTTAGGCGAAGTTTCCCTGGCGTTTGTTTGCATGTATATATGACCCTAGAAAAATAGACATAAATGCATAAAGGAATATAAACAAATCATGTGTTGTGGGAATAAAACTCTCTGGAAAAAAAGACTATAATTTTGCTGATAGAAAACATCATTTTATTTTGTCATAAGGCTATTTTATGTATAATTTGTTCATACAACTCTTGGCAAGGTTGATTTCATCTAAATGACTCGATTAACGCAATTCCTATAACTCAACAGGCAGCCAGAACGAGGCGGTTTTCTTCCAAAATCTCCTCTCTTCCATGAAGACGAATTGATAGACGGAAATTTAACACTTGAAATCGGTCTCTTGTTTGCTAAACGAAATATTAATGAAATAATCCTTAAAGTAGCAAGAAAAGTGAAAAGGGACACAGCTAGCCATTTTCTTTCATACATTCTTACTGTTCTCAGTAAATTTTGGGTGGCATTCAGACTGAGTGGATTTACCTGGGATTAAGATCTATTTAACACAATCGTTTTGGGTACCACTTTGTATAAGTTTTAGCGGAAATACAATTTCTGTTATTTGCACCTAAATTTCACCTAACGGAAGGGTATTTCAGTTGCGACTAATAATTTAAGGACAATGGAAAGTAAGGATAGTTTAATAAGAATTAGGTTTAGTGAGATTTAAGTATATCCGAGAGCATTTTTTTTTACAAAAGGAAAATAAATGGATTTGTTGCAGTAAGATATTGAACATAATATTATTTCTGAATTTTATAATCGCAGAATAATAGCAAATGATAAAGAATCCTCTTTAGATCCCTCGGCGATATCAGAACCGATTTTCGGGGAATTTAGACCCACTCTGGAGGATTTATGGTTAGGGAAGATGTATTTTGCTCTTTTTTTGACTCCCAAGGAGCAAGGTTGCCTCCGCAACAATATTTATCCCCACAGCTCTGCTTTCGTAGCTGTTGGCGACTTTCTTTTTCAGTCTTGGGTTACCAACAGAGCATTTACACATAACTCATTTTGCTGCGGAGGCTGGTAAATAAAAGGTGATCTCGCCAAGCGGAGGGGGGAAAAAAAAAACAGCTGCCGAGACGCTGGCAAGGACCTCCGAAGGGGCGGAGCGTCGAAGAGGTGGGGACAACTGGAATTCCCTCGCAGCCAATCAGCGAGCTTTGGGCCCGACCACTCACCAATTGGTGGGTCGATCGGGCGGGTGTTCGCGTCCTGGGACCGATCATATAGGGAGGGACGTCCAGAGTCTAGAAACGGGCAGGCGTTGTGGTTGCTGCCGCTGGCGAGCTTTGCTTTCCTCTACGCCCTTCAGCTCCTGCGTTTGCGGGGTTGGGCTGCTTTCGTGGGTCCCCTCGAGAGGAGTCGCCCCGATCCACGGCTCAGAGGTGGCTGGAGACGGGGCGAGGCTTTTGGCAGGGTGAAGCCGCTTCGCCTCTAGCGGTCTCTCGGCGCGCTCCGCCTTCGCCAGGTCCGGGAGGGACCGAATGCCATTATTGCGCGCCTCTGCAACCCCCTCGGACGCTTGGCTGTGGTGAGTAACTCTGGAGAGGTCGGGGGCTGGGCAGCCCGGGGGCAGGTTACGCGAAGCAGGGACGGGAGAGGAGGCCCCCCCCCTTTCCCCTGAGAGGCCCCCTCAATTGGGCCGTCTTGGATGGGCACCTTGCAGGCGGGGGCCTTAGTGGTCTCCGCTTCTACCTTCTTTCCTGGGTCTGAGGGTATTGCCAGGACAGTGGAAGAAACCCCGAGTCCGCTAAAAGGGAATGCCGGTGAATTCTAGTCGCTTCGGGACGTCCCTGCATTTAAAGCCAGCATTAAAACATCGAGGGCAAAATCAGCATTTGATTGCCCAGAGATGAAATTTTAACTTTACTTTCAGCATTAAGGCTGTACTTAACGCAGGGCACTTATTCTGAATGAAAGCTAGCGGTTTTGCAAATGTGGAAGATCCTTACAGTCAGATAGGGTTGTGTAATAAACCATACATTCAGCCAGCTTGACCAGTTGGATTACAACTCCTGTCAAGGCACAAAAGGTGTTTTCCAGTTACATGTGTCTATTTTCCATACAAGCAAATTGAAGGTCCACATCCATAGAACATCCTGAGACCCCCTGTGCTGCATTCAGTGACCCAAGCAATCTCTTTTGAAGAGAGAAGCAGGGTGTTCATGTGGGTCAATTGATCTTTAAACTGGAAAATGGCACAAAAAAAGCTTTCAGTGGTTGAAAGAAAACAATGAACACAAACCTCTGGCTAAGGTACTTTTGCTCTGAGGAATGTATAACGTATAGTTTACATTTACATGTAACCTAAGAAGTAAAGATGAATTATGTCTTTGGCTAAATCCATTCTCCTTTATAATTCATCATTCTATATTGATATACACTAGAATACAAATAAGGTTAGATGCCAAAGTAATTCACCAGCCAACAAATCATGGATGCATTGGTTAGACTCAGTTTTCCCAAAGCCATAATGTAGCTTGTATGCATTTGACTTAGTGTGTGGGCCAGAGAGAGCCAGTCAACAAATGAGTTATTGTGATATTTTACTCATGCTCCTAGTCAAATTTATCTAGTTTTATTTATTTCATTTGTACTTGTATGAAGGAAAACATTCAATCATAAGCAGCCATGGGATTATACTTCCAGAATATTATATTTCTAGATAACCAAAACATGTCTAGGATTGGAGCTTTAAACAGATAACTTCATATTTGCTATTTTTCTGAAGTGCATTTTAAAGGAAGGGGATACCTTTTTCTAGGTGCAGGAACTATGAAAATCACATCCAAAGATTTTTTTAAAAAATATGAGAAATACAATGGAAACAGGGATAATATGTAAAGAAGATCCTAGCACGTCAGAATTGTCTCTTTAAATAGAATTTTTAAAATTAAATCTTCCAAAGCCAGCCTTATGGTCCACAGTAATGCAAATTCTGAATTTCTTAAATGCAGATTACAAGAGAATATCCTGCAATCATGGCTTGTTTGGAGACAGCTGTTTCCCTCCCCCACCTTGCATGTTGGCCTTTTGACATTTCTTAATCTATGGCAATTTATAGTATCGTCCAATGTGCGGGGGGAAAAAAACCTGCAATGAAACCCAACTTTATATTGCTTTCATGTTGATAGAGATCTCCCTCAGAAGTTGTTAAAAGGTGTTCTTGGATGGACCTGAATTCACACATCCAACTAAATCATCTATTTGGTTTTACTTTCTGTTGAATGCCTTGTATGAAAATGACTGTTGTGTTTAATTCACTTACAAAGCCACTTACAAATTTGAAAAATAAATAAATAATAAATAAAGCCACTTTATAAGGCCTAGAATATTCCTGCATAACATTAAACTACAGTAGGTGCATTCACATGTCAAGCTAAAAGGAAAGCAAATGCACAGCATAAAGATGTGTGAATGAAGACCAATGCTGACCTTTTTCACAAGGGGGAGACAGCAAAGCTCTAAATTCTCTTGAGTTCATAGAGAGACATGAATCTGACCGCAATCTTTCTGGTTAATGGAGGGGGACTTTCTACCTTCCCCTAAAGACAGCTCTGGTCTTATCTTAAAATTGTGCATCCTCCTTTCCTTCCCTCTTTTTGACAGCAGAATAGAACACACCTTGTCGACCCACATTCTACTAAGCTTCTTTATTACCACAGAGATAGGAGGAAAAAAATGCAATGAGGATGGTGGGTGTGCGTTGCAAACCACGCCAAAGCTATAACGAGGTTTTCAGCATGCTTTGTGACCCCAGCGAGTTATGATTTATTCACTAAACCCTATTTAATAAACAGAGTGCCCTATGAACTAGATCAGTGTAAAAATAAAAGGGAGCACCTCTTTTTTTTTTTTAAGAGCCAGATAAAAACCCAACTGTGATTTTTTTTTCTTTTCCTGCGTTTCATCTGGCCTTGCTCCTTGAAGGCGCACCAAACCTTCTTGGGCAATAAGGGTGGAGGCGAGCAGGGCAGAAGCAGGGAAGCCTTTCTAGAGAATTGCCAGCTTTACCCAACCCTGCTACCTTTCTGAATGTATCTGACTAAAATTCCCATTGCTAATTTGTTCCCTGTCCTAATTTGGGATGGTAGGAGTTGCAAATCCTACTAGCCGAAATCCAAGGCACCCCCACCCCCCTTCCTCCGCTTTTCACTGGGGCGAGGGCGAGGCAAGAAGACGCGTCACATTTTCATTTGTGATTGTGAAGCGTCCGAGGCATTCAGGCTTTGAGCGCTGCTAGGGGTGGGGAACTGCTGGCGGCTGAGCGAAATCCCATCTTCGCGGCGTGGGTACAATTTGTCCAAGCATGACAGGAAAGCCAAGGAATAACTCCCTTCTCCTCCCTCCACCCCCCCACGAAGGAGATCCTTCCTCCGGGTTAAGTCCCCGAGAAGTGGCGTGAGTTACCCCCACCACTCTCCGCGGATACTTAATTCAGCAGTGGCCCTCGCCGATTTCCATTCCCCCAGACGGGTCTCTAGGCAAAGCAGCCTCGTCAATCTGGCGGGGGAAAGGTGGGCGGCTGGAGGTGGGCGGGAAGGGCAGCCAGGCCAGATCGTGGCTCTAATGCGAGGAACGCCGCGGCCTCTTTTCTCCCCCTTCTCCCCCACCCCCCCATCTCTCGTGCAGGAAGCGAGCTGGAGGAGAAGGCGGGAGCCGCGGGGCGCGAGCCATGGCTGAGGGGCAGCAGGTGGGCCCCGCCGCCGACGCCTGGGAAATCGACGTGGAGAGCCTGGAAGAGCCCGAGCGGCCGCCGCAGCCGCCGCCTCATGCGCCACGCGCGCCTTCGCTACAGGCCGCCAGAGACGACGACGACGAGGAAGACGACAACCAGGGAGACGATGACGACGAGGAGGGCGAAGAAGACGAAGACGAAGCCGGGGCAGCGGGCGACCTTCTCCGGTTGCCTGGGTTGCCTCAGCCGCAGCTTCTCTCGCCGTCGCCGGCGGCGGAGGAAGGAGGCGTAGGCGGCGGGGAGCAGCCAGCCCGCAAGCTTAGCCGCACGCCCAAGTGCGCGCGCTGCCGCAACCATGGCGTGGTGTCCTGCCTGAAAGGCCACAAGCGCTTCTGCCGCTGGCGGGACTGCCAGTGTGCCAACTGCCTGCTGGTGGTGGAGCGGCAGCGCGTCATGGCCGCCCAGGTGGCGCTTCGCAGGCAGCAGGCCACCGAGGTAAGGGCCGGCCTCGCCTGTCCTCCCGTCCCTGAGCGAAAGGCTCTTGTTGGCTCCCCCGGGCGGATTCCGCCCTCCGCTCTCCAGGCGAGGCTCTCCCGTCATCCCCATCCTCTCCTGCCTTGTTTTCCCTCCGCGGAAAAAGAACCCGGCCCGGGAGGCGGAGCGTTTTCTTAAGGGACCCGCGCATGCTACGCTCGCCCTTAAAGGCGGCTTTTGCGCGGTGGTTTTGCTCCTTCCCGGTCCGTGGATTTTCAACGTTGGCCGGCGTTCAGCCCGGGGGAGCTGATCTTCCGAGGAAAAGGCGCGGGTGGGCCTGAGGGCGGAATCGAACCGGCCTCCTATTTGAGAGAGGGGCAGGAGCGGAGCCCCCAACGACCCTCTGAGGCGCCGCCCCAGGACGGTGCGAGGAGCTGCGTTGGGACGGGGAATCCTCTGGAACCAAAGCGGCTTCAGTAATAATCGCTTTCTGGAACCCAAAGGAAAAATAGTAGAATAATAATAATAAAATAATAATAAAATAAAATACATTTATTTTGATGGGCCTCGACTGACTGCTGGGATTTAAACTGGCTATGAGGTGCTGTTAGTTGGCCTAATCTAACAGTTTTGTGAGACTGATTTGGCTTCGACCCTAGTATTTTAATTTGGATTTTTGTGGAAGAGTGGGTTCCAAATTCCAATGGAATTTGTTCTCAGCTTTAAGTTGCAACCTCTCTTCCGATTTACTTGTTTTCCCTGGCTTCCTGAAAGCATCGAATCTAAGGTCTTCAATTTGCTAGGGGAACAAATTGAATCCAGATTGTAGCAAATATACCTAAATTGACATTTCCCAAGAAGGTCTTTTCTTTCTATTATTTCCTCAGAATTAATACTTAAGATATCAGAAGCTAAGGTTTTAAAAAGAAAACACATATGGATTTCAACTGGATAGAAAGTCAATTTTAATTTAGACCAAGAGTTTTTGTTGAAGGAATGTTTCTGTCAGATAGTGTTTAAGGGACTGTATCACACGCTTAAGGTTTTCCTTTTAAACAAGTAGTATCAAATATGTTAGAAAATGCATTTTACTTTTTCAACCGCATAGTGTGGTATGCATTTTGGCAATTTCTTCTGTGATCATTCCTAATCAAAATCTAAATGCATTTTGCATATTTTAGCCAAAGCTAAAAGTATTTAATATATTTGATTTGATTTAAAGAATTAAGTATATTTCTCCTTTGCTATTGGCTGCTGTCTGTATTTGGGAGCTTGGAATAAAACTATACAGTATAATTTGTTTAAACCTTTGAGCCAATTGTTTAGAAGTTAAATTCCTAATATATTTAGAGTCAAAGGAAGATACCTGATGTAGAAGGAATTCCATTAAAATGAAAGTATGTTTAACTTGATTAATTAACCCATTTTCTGAGTTTGCACAGTACATTGAACTATAGTCAAATGGCCAAATATAAGGCACTAACTTACAAAGAGATATAAATGCAGCTGCTAAATTGATTTAAAAATGTGGTGAAACCCCAGTCTCTTTCTAGTCTCTTAATTCAGGAAGTATGAAGAGTACTGGCTTTTTTCAGAACTGCAACCTCAGAAATTGATGCTGCTGGGAATAATAAGAATATGCATAATTTATGAAGTTTCTCAGACTTCTTTTTCCTCTCCATGTTTTTCTACTAGGATAAGAAGGGACATACAGGGAAACAGGCTAATTTTGAGCGCAGAACAGTGTACCAGAGACATGTTCGGACGCCTAGTTTGCTGGCTAAAAGCATTTTAGAAGGTAATAATTTTTAGCACTTTGAAGTTGTCTGTTTTTATATATCTTAGGAATTATTTTTGTCTGGTTTGTTAATATATAAAAATATTACGTCTGTCAGTTTGATAATAAAAAGACTAAGAAAATTAGGCAATTGTAAACACTCAAGGACCCTGATTCACTCCAAATCTCAGTAGCCTTTGAACAAAATCTTCTTAATTAGATTGTGATATGTGCACTTTAATTCTGTCATAAAAAATAGAAAATGCTTTCTTAGAAATGAACTGATGACAGTGTTATAGCCAGTAACTGAATTATAATTTCTGGCAACTGTGATAAGGGCTAGATTAGATTATGCAAAGAAGTACAGAATCTACATACCTTGTTATTTGAGGATTTTAAAAAATAGCTAATATCATATGGAAATTCCCTGTCCATTTCTTAAAAGGAATAGTCAGATTAAATTAGGAAAATAAAGTATAGAGTAGTTGCAGTGAACAAGTTATTTTTAATTCCAACTTTCTCTTCATTTTGCCTCAACCTGTATTCAAATAATTGTTGATTAAAAACATAAAGTGATATTTTGAGGAGTTAAATTAATATTTCTCTGTCAAAAGTATATATAAGCTTGTATCCTAGAAAAATTATAGATTAAAATAGTTAATTTTAATTGAATAGTATTACCTTTTTGAAAGCATTCATAGTGGAGTTCTTTTGCTCCTAAGTACGGTAATCCTATTATTTTATTATCTTTAGCATTTGATACAGATTTAGTAAATCTAAAGTCTCTGACCAAATTCTGTAGTGTTGAGAAAATTAGTAATTTAGTAATAGAAACAATCCACTAGTAATAGAAACAATCCATTTCTAGTCAAGCTAGTGACATCTTGCACTGCAGCTTTATACCATATATAAATGTTTTATTTGGATGAAAATCCCATTAAATTATTCATGGTTTTGAGCAATTATGCTTAATGGGCCTGTGGAAATGTGTGTATAACATGAGATTCTCTCCTGCAACGATCCCAAATAAATTTATTTGGGATTATGTCTCACTGAACTCAATAAGGCATATACTATATCTGAGAAGTAATGTCCACTATAGAACTGTTCTGTTGTAGTAAACTGAATTTACAAAATCAGTTATTAAAAGTTTCCTAGTGAGTTCATTTATCTGTCCTTATTTTTCTCAACAATAATATGGAAATTGTTTGCCCTTGCCTTCTTCCAAAATAGATATCTGATCTAGTCAAAATCTCTGAAATTTCATAGATTTGCTGTTGTGAAAGTTTTTCATTCTTTGTCATGTTGAGAAGCACTACTTACATTTGAGCAAATAAATACTTGAGTTGCACATCTCATGATGTCATTAGTGGATATTAATCAAGAGTTATAGTTGTATGCTATAAGAATCTCCCCAGTTTTTCTTCACACCTTTCACCCAGTATTGGTAACACAGTACCACATGGGTATAATATGATTTTTAAAAAAATTATTTGCTTTTTTCTAATCACCAGAAAATACTAAGATGCGGACAGATTTGAAGGACAGTTCAATTTTTAGGTTTATGGGTTGACACTAAAGATATCTTAAAGAGAATGATCATTGGTGATGTAACGGAAGAGATTACTGCTGTATGTAAAAGCAAGCATATTGACCACAAGGAATAAAATTCAGAATCTGTAAAGAATGAGCTTCTGAAAGTCTTCAGACTAGCTGATTTTTTGAGTTTTCAAGACATCTTGGAAATTCAGAATATTGTTTTCAACTCAACACCATTTACGTAAAATGATTCAAAAATTTGATCCCAACTCCTATTTTTATATGCAGTTTGAATCCTATGGGTTTTTTTTTTTTTTGAATGGTGGCTGTGGTTGATAACATTTATTTGGAATTTGTGAAATGAGGACCATAAGTCAGAGCTGCAAAGACCATAATTTTGAAGAGTAAAACCCATTGGCTTTACTTAAGCTTTATTTCCAGCTAAAGAAAATAGGACTATCACCTAACTATATAAAGTGATTTCTTTATATTTCTTCTTTTTCTTTTGGTTCAGTTTTTACATTCTTGCAAGGATACTTTCCTTGTAGGAGTAGAAACATTCTTATGCTTCATGCTATCTTTTCTGATTGTCTTAACTTTCTTTCTCTTTTCTCCTAGTACTCCTTGGATTTTATCTTTACCTCTGTGTACGTAGAGAGAATAGAAATGCACCAGTTGTAGGTATAGAGATCTTTCAAAATCATTTGATAAGTATCATAATAAAGAAACATTAATATAGTGAAATGGGGTTTGAAAACTGATTTACGGGCTAATTATTATTGTGATGGTTCAGTGTGACTTTGGATATGGTGAAAGTAATTAGTAGTTGGAGACAAAAAGCACTATGTTCTTTGCACTTTTTGTGTGTGCATTTTATCAAAAGAACAACTTGTACATCTATGTCTATACATAGATGTCTAAACATCTGATGCAAAGGTTGATCATAAATCTTGGCAGGTAATTAGCAAGTTTTGCTTTAGGTGTAAACCGGGAGGCAGGATAAAAGGGGAAAATCATTCAGGTTCTTGTTCTTCAAATTTACATAAACTCTGAAGTTACCTATTGAGGGTAAGAAAGCACTGTGTATGCACCAAAGTGCCATACTCTAAAACATTATCTTCAAGTGATTGTGCAGGGAGAGGCCATGTTCTTTTACAGTACATTAGCTCTCTTATCGTTTTGCTCTTACACTTTTTAAGTTATTAAAACAATTATTTTCTCCCCTCCAAGGTTATCGTCCCATTCCAGCAGAACCTTACCTTGGAGGGAATTCGTCCTTGCCACCTCCTGTTAGCGACAGAATGAGAAAAAGACGGGCTTTTGCTGACAAAGAACTTGAGAACATAATGCTTGAACGGGAATATAAGGAACGAGAAATGATGGAAGCCACCCAGGCTGCTGCTTTCTTCCTGCCAAACCGCATGGTGCATGGTCCCGAGTACAATTCTTATAAAAGTTTTAACCCTCATCAATTTGAAACTTCCAGTAAGGAGTTTTGTGGTTTTCTGCCTACCTGCTTAGATCTGACTATGCAGTATTCAGGCTCAGGGAACATGGAACTGATCTCATCAAATTTGAGTGTGGCCACCACCTACAGGCAATATCCTTTACCCTCCAGATTCTTGGTGTGGCCAAAATGTGGCCCTCTCAATGATGCCCTTCTCTATCAACAATGCCTTCTAAATGCTACCACAGTCCAGTCTGTCAAACCTGGAGTAGTTTGGGACAATAAAGCTTCACATGGCCAGGATTTTCCCACCTCTGAACATGACATCACATTGTCAAAAAATGAGAACACGTTGCACCATCCTCATGTTCGGGAACTTGAGACACCGCAAAACAAACTCCAAAACATCTCTCGGGAGGCTCATGAGAGATCAGCATTTTCATCTCCTAAGAGGACCTTTTCACAGATCTCTGGCAAGGATCCTACAGTTCATCAGGACCCGTCTCTCAACAAGATCAGCAAAGAAAGCAACAAGCAGCATCTGCTACTGCCACCCTCATCCAAATATAGCCCATTCCATTCATTATTCCAGCAGACGCTTCATAGCAAATCAGGATCAGAGTTAAAAACCAGTTTTGATGAGGCATCCAAGAAATATAGAGAGTGTACCTTCAGAGAAAACCAAAAGTACAAATTCAGCATTGACAGATATGCAAAAGACTTTCTAGAGACTAAACAAGTTGTAACGAAATTATCAGCAAATGAACCATTACCATTTTCTGTTGAATCAATTCTTAAGCGACCGTCTTCAATGGTCACCAATGTTTCTCAGTAGGCTGACAATGTGATCTTCCAAACAAATCTATTGGCACTTAGAATTGAACTTAACCATATGTGCCAAGAAGTAAGTCCCTTTGAATTCATTAGAGAGTTCCTCTGCTAGGCACTTCGTCCACCATACACTTGAAAGACGTTCTTCAGATTTTGTTGAAATTGATTTCCAATAAACAGGTTTTGAACTACAACACACCACTAATATCGGTCATTTTCAGACTGGCTGAGTTGCCCTTTTTGGGGAATTGACTATTCTAAAACGTTAACAATTATTGATATGCTGTCTGACAAACGCATAGCCACTGCCTTTTGCCACCATAATTTTGGAAAAAAGAATTTCAGATGTAAAGGGGGTTATTAAAATGTACATAGTATGCATGTTTTTATATGAAAATAAAATATTTAAATGTTTTGCAAATTAAAATAGTGCATTCTGTGAGGATTTTAAAAGTTATGAAAGCATACACACGTATGCAAAATCTGCCCCAGTTTGTTGAATCTCTTCATTTCATCTCTGTTGCAATGACATGAATGCAGAATAATACTTTTGATTCATAATCATCAAATGAAGTCTAGGAAAGAAATGGACCCAGGGTCATTCAGATTAATAGATGTAAGGCCCCAGATGATTCAAGGCTTGGCCATTTGACTTGCTAGATTAATTGCTCCAGATTTTATGCATATTTCTTCTTGCAATATGGTTACCCATGACTTTCTAACATTTACATGCAAAATGTAATGCATCTGATACCTTCCTGGAATACTCATCAATGGCTATGATGAGGAGAGATGTTTGAATTTGTCCTGTAGTATTCTGAGGTATATAGTATTTCACCAAAGCCCTCCTTTTACCACATGTGCAGAGGAGACCTACCACAAAATTGTATACCTCTTCCTGCAGGTTCCCTCTATCTCAAAATGTCTCTAAGACTATAGGGAACTGCTTAATTTGATATATACAAAATGACATTTTCTTCATCACTAATGTGATTCTGGCTAACAAAAGCCACACTAGGTTGGTTACCTAGAAATACATCCTGATCAGAGCTGGTCCTTTTGGCCTGGGCTGCCAACTTTCACTAGGTCAAGGGCTGCATTAAGTCTCAGTTACACTTTGGAGTGGTACCAGTGGTGGGTTTTCAGTGGTTCGCCCCAGTTTGGGCGAACCGGTGTCGGGAGGCTCTGCCCACCTGTCGGGACGTCATCACGGATGCTCTGCGCATGCAGAAGCGCTGCATGCGCTCACAGTTCCGAGCCAGTAGGAAAGGTAAGTGAAGCCCACTACTGAGTGATATGTTCAAAAAATATAGAGTGGGTCCAAGATACCTTGTGGAGTGCCACAGGGCATGAGGTTCTGTTTTAATGCCTGGAGGTGTGGGATTCTTGATGGGGTGCATCAGGCTTTGCTTCAATCCAAGCAAGCCTGAGTGGCTTTGAATTTTGGATCTCCCAGTTCTTGGTACTTTCCTTCCATATTTTGTTCTTGATAAGGAAATATTGCCCTAAACAGATCTGAGGTGAAATCTGGAGGTCATCCCAGACTCATGGCTCTTGCTGGAGAAAGATGGCAGCCATATTTGCACAACCATCTTTTGGTGGTTGGGGACTTGTGACTCCAGACTGGAGTATGGCAGTCCGTTCTTCATGAGGCTGCCCTTTAAGAGCGTTTGGAAGCTTCAGCTGGTGCAGAATACAGCAGTGTCATCAGTTAATGGCGTTAGTTATTTGGCATGTGACATTGCTGCTTCCCTAGCTGCCCCGGCTTCTTATGTACTTCTGGGTGCAATTCAAGGTGCTGGTTTTTACCTTTAAAGCCCTCTGACGTGAGACGGTAAATTACAAAACTCTCCCCAATTGTATCTACTCATTCTACCTGGCCCAACAGGACAGGGAAAACTGGGTCCCATTGGCTAAGGCAGGGATGTCCAACATTGGCAGCTTTAAGACTTGTGGGCTTCAACTCCCAGAGTAGCTGGCTAGGGAATTCTGGGAGTTGAAGTACACAAGTCTTGAAGATGCCAAGGTTGGATACCATGGGCTAAAGACTTTTAGCTGGTGGGTCCCAGAAAGAGACCTTTTTCTTCCATGTCTTCCAGCCTTTGAAACATTCCTTCCAAAACCAGACTAACTCTGATTGCTGGCTTGTTGCAGGGCCTTCAAAACTTGGGTTTGTGCCTGGCCTGGGGCCCTGGTTATGTGAAGGAGCCCATCTCTTGGCTTTGCTGATAGTTGAATATGGCAAAGAACTTCAGGAAAGGGAACAGTCATGGAGAGTATGGTCCATGGTGCTGGACCACCATTGTGACCTACTTCTAATTTTGTTTGTCCACAGCCATATTATATGTAATATTTAATTCAGTGTATTCAATGCACAAAAATCCTATTTGAAGGCATAAAAAACTGAAGGAGAAGCAGCCGGCTCTGCCACAGATGTCATGTCATTCATTTGAAATAGTTTGGGTTACCTTCTGGGTAGAGTTCAATGCAGCACTTTAATCTGGAAGTTAGCAGAGTGTGGATGACAAATTCCCCCCTATGACAAAGAGGCATTTCTAGCTTCCTGTCTGAATTTCATTTCTTCACCAGTAATTTACAGCATTTTTTAAAGTTATCCAATTAATATTGTGCCAAAAGACAGCAACGTGGGCATGCTTTATAGCACTTCAATGGTTGCATTGTAATGGCACGAAGGCACTGAAAATGATTATAAGTCACTGGTGGAGACATGACCTTAACTACAATTGCTATTCAGGAGTAGATCCAAGGTATAAATTAAATTTTCAGACAGAAACTGCAGCTCCACCCCAAGCCATCACTGCTATCTGTTTATTTGTATTTTTTTCTGTTTCTCTGCCACTTTTCCTGCCCCATTTCCACTGAGTTTGATACTGTTTCCTTTCTACTGTATTTCTCAAGATGCTCAGCTGCCTAACTTCACTGTTAATGGGAATAAAATAATGGTGGAACAAACATTTGATCATTGGATTTATAATTTGCCTACCATTCAGAAGCCCAAATGGACCTAGGGCTGTATTCTCCTCCCCCATTTATTATGAAGCAGATAAGAGATTTAATAGGAGATTAAATATATTTTACTCTTACAGGAACAACAGTAAAGGCATGGCTTCAGCTGCATGGCTTTGGTTGCCATCTTGACTTTTTTGACTCCCCGTGGACATCCTTGCCTCAAGTGAAGCTCATGCTAAAGATACAGTACCTGGTCTTCCATCTAGTGAATCAGCTTTTGTAGCTGAATGTAAATTTGAACCATGGATTCCTTGCTGCACATCTAATACTCTACCTTTTATGAATCTGCTTCTGAGATTTCGAGCCACATTTTCGAAGCAGAGCCTTTTACTATCTCAAGACTGCTTCCATGCGTTGGAAAAAGGGTGCCAACTAACCTAATGTTGTAACTGCCCACTCTTCTTTGGCAAAATGAAATGTGAGCAAACTTCAGTCTTCTCTAGGACAAGGAAGGAAAAGAGGTTTTGTTCCATACTGCAAGCTCTACAAGAGGCTCTGCCAAAATAAATAAATAAATAAATCAGCATTATTTTCTAACTTTGTTATCCTGCATCCTTCGCACTGAAAATGCAAAGAAAGCTACATGCACCTGGGTCAGAAGGGCAGACTGGCTGTGGAGGCTGAACCCATCTGCTTCCAGAAGCTCTAAAGTAGTAAATAGCTCTATAATAACATAAATTGTGTCTATGTAGCAGAGAAATTACCTTGTCAGTATCAATTGGGCCATCATGTTTCCCCAGCCAGCACTTGGCATAAAATCTTCTGATACGCATCATGGTTAAGCTCAGCATCTCAGCATAACTGGGCAGTAGATTCACAGCTATGATTTTGCTAGTTTATAATCTTTCTTGAGAATTATAATAAAATCATATCCAACGGTTGCTTTCTCACTGCCAGCAAGAAGTCAGGAAATTTTACATCTTTGCAGATATTTAATTTGAGATGTTTTCTGCCCTGCCAGATTCACAGATAGTTGGCATGGCATTTAGCAATTTTGAAGTTGGGTTGTGATAGGTTTATATAATGAGCATCTCGAATTTGGGAACTCCTGTTCTGCCACTGCAGCTTTAACCTTTCTATTGGCTACAGAAAAACACGAGAACAGTTATCAAATTTGATGTATTGGGGCTACTTTATTGTCCTCTTAGATTCCCAGGAAAGTGGTAACATTCTTTCATGTGGCTTAAAATTCCACATTCTTGATTCCCTTTTTTATTCTCAAGGATTTTATTCAAATGCTTTTCCAAAAGATGAATAACTGGAGTCAGGGACAATCAATGGTGAGTTTCAAATTTTTTTACTACCGGTTCTGTGGGTGTGGCTTGGTGGGCATGGCTTGGTGGGTGTGGCAGGGGAAGGATACTGTAAAATCTCCATTCCCACCCCACTCCCGGGGAAAGTTACTGCAAAATCCCCATTTCCTCCTGATCAGCTGGGACTTGGGAGGCAGAGAATAGATGGGGGCGGGGCCAATCAGAATTTTTACTACCGGTTCTCTGAACTACTCAAAATTTCCACTACCAGTTCTCCAGAACTGGTCAGAAGCTGCTGAAACCCATCTCTGGCGACAATGCAGGAGAGCATCTGACAGATTTCTCTGGTCAGCTTTACCTGACCATCCATCAGTGGCATCTATGGAGGTAGGATAGTCAAAATTCTGATGCTTGGCAGCCGGTTTATCTTTATGACAGTTGCAATGTCCTGGGGTTATTAGTGCAGTGATCACTTTTTGTGACCTTCTGACAAGCAAAGTCAATGGAGAAGCCAGGTTCACTTAACAACCTTGCCACTAACATTTTTTTAAAAAAAATGATTTATATGCCGCCTTTCTCCGGAGACTCAGGGCGGCTTACAATGTGTTAAGCAATAGCCTTCATACTTTTGTATATTTTATACAAAGTCAACTTATTGACCCCACAATCTGGGTCCTCATTTTACCTACCTTAGAAAGGATGGAAGGCTGAGTCAACCTTGAGCCTGGTGAGATTTGAACTTGCAGTAATTGCAGGCAGCTGATGTTAATAACAGTGCTTTAGTCTGCCGCGCCACCAGGGCTCTTAACAACAGCAGTGATTCATAAATGTCTCAATCAGCAACAAAAACTTTGGACTCCATTGTGATCATAAGTCGAGGACTACCTGTATATGAAAAGTTGGATGTGGGATTGC